TTCTGTTAGATGATCTTAGTCTGTGTTGCCTGCTAACTACGAAAGCTCTAGCTTGGCAGTCTTTAAGCCTTCCGGACCCAATATCCGTAGTGTCAGGAAATTCGTCCAAACCTTCTATAAAGTTAATCCAATTTACGTCTTGCTGACCAGCCCGCAAATAAAGTTCCTTTTTGCATGACTTACCATTGCTAAAGTCATACTGGTCACCGTCTTACAAGCATTGGGTTTTAAGGAGAGTCATAATGGTTTTATTGATAATTTTCATGATTTTCTAAAGCCAGTCGGTTCATAATTTTTTGGAGACTGACTAGATTCTGTTTCTTAGGTCATGATAACTTACGCCCACCTAATGCAATAGTCAGGTACACTGTCTGGATGACATAAAACATTGTTAGAGTAGCATCAACATAAATTTAGGGTTGTCTGAACAACCTAGAATATAGTTCGTAAAACGACATTGACTTCTCTTCATACAAAGTGCCTAATGTCGTTAATATGTTTTGTTGGTTAGTATCTGCGACTAGTAATCAAATTTACTTCGTTACTTTCGCAGCTGATTATCCATTGATCAGTATTCTGTGGAGGGCTTCTCTGCATTGAACAACCGTAACCTCTACTTTAAAAAGGACAGTAGTATTCTTCCTCGCTGAGCTAAATTTATAGTTTTTATCGTTTATCATGCATCGAAACCACTGTTCTCTTTTTGATTGAAATTATTTTAGCTTAAGTAACATCAATAGTATCGTTTTTCCTTGAAAGTAAGCAATCATCTGTACTTTCTTAAAAGTGTATTTGCCTTTTTGGATCTAACAGTTAACGGTTTTTTACCTTCCTTCTGATTGTCGGTTCTTGTCTCCGCGTGTCCTCTTGTGTCTTATTCATTTGAAAACCTCTGTTTGATGACTGAACAATCCGAAAAGCAATTACTAACGCATGAGCTGTCGATACCCTGTGGGAAGTGAAATACAGTGCGATGAGTGCAAAGCGTGGTTCCACAAAGTTTGCACGAATCTAACACCTACAGCTTTTGAACGGTTTGATAAAGAGTAGCGTGTGATTGTGTGCTTCGGTCTGGGCACCCGGGCAGTATCACAGCCCACACACAAATGATGAACTGTCTACAATTATGGAAACTACTTTTCTTGCTTCAACTAACAGTCAAATGATTCAAATTATTACTATTATTATTATTGTTATTATTATTATTATTATTATTTACTATATCATTATTCATCCTCTTTTATTCCTACTCTGTCTATACTTATTTTCTCGACTTATACAGCAGCTCGTCTATGGTAGAAATTCGACTCTATCTAAACGTTCTCGAGTCACTGTCCGGTTGAAAATTGTATGCTACCACCGAATATGAGTACTGAAGCAGTTTTTCTGAAGCCACGTGCACCATTCAAACTAGCTACCTTCAACGTTCGCACACTTATGCAGGTTGGACAACAGATAGGGCTGGTTATGTCTTTGAAAAGTCTTAATATCGACGTTTTTGTCTATCCAAGACTCGTATTCCAGACTGTGGTGAAGTACTACAAATTCGCTCTCGATCTGTCGCTTCGAAAAGCTTGTTTTACGTGCGATTATCCGAGGATCCTGTGGCATCTTCGTCTGGTCTTGCTGACGTTGGTGTTGCACTAAGCGCTAGAGCTGAGACAGCACTAATCGAATGGATCCCCATTGACAATCGGCTGGTTATGTGCTGTTAGATTAGAAAGTTCCATCAAAGTGAGAAACGATGTCTTTTCGTCATCTCCGCCTATGCCCCAACAGATTGCAGCCGGGATGCAATCAAGGATGAATTTTACCACCAGTTATCTGTTCTTCTACAGAAAGTGCGTTCGACAGATATTGTAGTACTAGCCGGAGACTTGAGTGCTCAGATGGGGCGTCTAGGCACAGAAGAGAGTCGTCTAGGTGGCCGATGGGGACTTGTTGGTCGCAGGACAGATAACGGAGACCGTCTACTGCAACTATGCACAGACCACAACCTGTTTCTGGCTAGCACTAACTTTCGGCACAGTCATCGCCGATGTGCCGGCTGGCGTCCTCCCTCTGCATCCCAAGCCTGGACTCAGATTGATCACATCGCGATCAGCTACCGCTGGCGTGGTTGTGTACAAGACTGCCGCTCCTTTTGTAGTACCTATCTGGACTCTGACCATGCCTTGGTCTGCGCAAATCTTACCTTACTTTTCAGTGGATAACGAAGTGACCGCCACCAAAGGATTGATGTTAGCAAGCTGGTTGCAACTTCTGTTGCAAGTAAGTATCGAGCCAAGCTAGCTTCTAGGCTAGCTACCATTCCACCGAAAAGTATAGATGGGCATTGGTTGCAATTGCATGACGCCAGGAAAATGGCGGGTACAGTCAGTTGTGAGTTTGCGAAACGTCCCGCTTATAAGCACTGGGTTTCTTCAAGCTCCTTACAACTCATTGAAGCCCGTCGGTCTACTCCGGGTGGCCGTGAGTTTGGCCACAAACGAAGGATGTTACGTAATGGAATTGAGCAAAGATTGCGTAAGGACTGAGATGCCTGATGGTGGTCGGAGCGTGCTAATGAGCTGAAAGCAGCAGCCGCAGCATCTGGTAATTACCGGAAGCTCTTCCAACTCATCCGAGCCACTGGCAGCAAGAAGTCTGGTGTGAGCGAAACAAACTGTGAGGATGACGGGATGCCAATCACTAACATCCATCGACGTCTTGGACGATGGGCAGAATTCTTCGAAGGGCAGTTCAACTGGCCTGCTGCTCCGGCAACATCGGTCAGACTGTCCTGCCCTCCATGGTCGGTGACGACTGATCCACCAAATGAGGCGAAAGTCCTCAAGGAACTCCAACTCTTGAAGCGCTACAAATCACCTGGCCTAGATGACTTACCTCCGGCTCTTTTTAAAGATGGTGACTTTCTGACTAAGTAACTGACTGTGTTGTTTACAAAGGTTTGGAAGCTAGAGAGTGTACCAATGTCATGGAATGAGTCGATAGTTGTCCCTATCTTTGAAAAGGGTTCACGTTGTTCCTGTAACAACTATCGGGGGATAAGTCTACTTCCGATTGCGTCCAAGCTATTGGCTTCCGTCATACTTCGTAGGTTGTTCAAAACCCGAGAAAGATTGACTCGCGAGAAGCAGGCTGGGTTTCGTTCTGGTCGAGGATGTATTGATCATATCTTCACCCTCCGCCATATGTTAGAACACCGTCATACTTATCAGAGGCCAACAATCGTAGTGTTTCTTGACATTAGGGCTGCCTTCGATTCGCTGGACAGGACTGTTCTCTGGGATTGTCTATTGAAGAAGAGTGTGCCTGAGAAGTTTATTAACATCCTAAAAGCCCTATATACAAACACCTCAGGCAGAGTGAGGGCATACACCCACCTTTCTCCATTGTTCCATTCAAGCAGTGGGGTTAGACAGGGTTGCCCGATCTCACCATTCCTCTTCAACTTTGTCATCGATGACTGTTATAACTCTCTCTTTCTTACGGTTATGACCCAGCTATTCCTATTGCTTAGTATTCTTGGACACTGATTCACTCGACAAGACCCCAAATCAGAACACGGTTTAACAGGAAGAGATTATATTCCAAATAACAAGGTTAGATGGAAGAAAGAAGCAAGTCAGAAGCACAATAGGGAAAACGTCAGTATATTTATAGTTTTCACGTAAGAAGATTCCAGAGTACTCTCCAACTATCGACTAGTGCTGATTGGATAAGAATTAGCCAATCAGCGTGCACCAAAGCAATCATGCATTGAGCATGCTTTAATCTAGTCTATGTCCCGCTAACACCTCCCCTCTGAGCAGATTCGTAGGATCTGGTGCTAGGGTCCAACTGCAACTGAGTGACTGGCTTGTGCTTTCGATTAGTTCATCGTCTAGGCAATAAAGAATTATCACTTTTTTCTTGCACAGAGACTGACATGTCTGTTCCTGGCGTTTTGATTTTAAAAAAAATAAAAGTATGCATAACTTTTAATTCTCCAACATTCTACTCCTCCGCGAAACAATGTCGGATCCTTATATCTCCAAGTTACAAATAATAGGACTATTTAAACGATGTTTTTTGCATTGAATGTCGGATCCACTAGAAATGACTAGATGATAATGAACGACTTTTGATTTGAGGTCAGAGTTTAATTCTTCTGAAGCATTACTTTCAAATCCATTAGAAATTTCATCAGTGGATAATGGATCATTACGGAAATCAGCATCTAACAAAATTAAATTAGACTTTTGACCATAATTTGACTCAGCCGACATATCTTCCTCATTTTTATAAGAAATTTCATCAAAATTACATGCATTATTCTGAAAACCCATATCTGATACATTGTCATTAGAAATCGGATAAGCTGATTCGGTATAAATTTCTGTCTCACAATGATTTTGAGTAACATTCAGTATATTTGAGTTCATCGTGTCACTGCAGTTCTTTTCTGAATACGAGTCCCCATAGCTTTTTCGGCTAATATCACGTGGACCATAATTTTGTTCTAGCTGAAGTTTATTTTCAGAGCTAGACAGAACCAGTAGTGTTTCATTCAATTCTGGACTCCGGGCTTCATCTACAGGGTCTGGCTCTTGATCATTTCGTATTGCCACAACTTTATGAGCATTCAGCACAGTATTTTCTTGCTGTGAGCCGGACACGTTACAAATATTACGTTCTGATTCAGGTATAAAGGGATTTGAACCCTCCACTAGATATGCTTCTGAAATGTCTGTTACTGCATCATAAACAGATTTCTTATTTTCTGGTCGAGTGAAAAGTGTGCTCAATAGTTGTTGTTGCAAGGCTAACAACTTCTGCTGGTGCTGTAATATTAACCGCAACTGTTCTAAGGAAATCGCCATTTTTCTTTAGTTTTTCCCCGTCGCCACTGTTATAACTGTTTTCTTACTTCTTATGACCCAGCTATTCCTATTGCTTAGTATTCTTGGACACTGATTCACTCGACAAGACCCCAAATCAGAACACGGTTGAACAGGAAGAGATTATATTCCAAATAACAAGGTTAGATGGAAGAAAGAAGCAAGTCAGAAGCACAATAGGGAAAACGTCAGTATATTTATAGTTTTCACATAAGAAGATTCCAGAGTACTCTCCAACTATCGACTAGTGCTGATTGGATAAGAATTAGCCAATCAGCGTGCACCAAAGCAATCATGCATTGAGCATGCTTTAATCTAGTCTATGTTCCGCTAACAGATGACATTCTGGAAACAGCTCTGATGGCTGTAAGTAATGGTGGTGTGTATCTTCTGACTGGAGAAAGACTTCTCGACCTTGAGTATGCGGATGATATTGTCTTACTGTGCGATAATGCCCAAGGCATGCAATCCGCACTTAATCAGTTGGCAATCAATGTTCGTAGGTACGGTATGTGCTTTGGACCTTCGAAGTGCAAAGTACTCCTACAAGACTTGCAGGATCCTAATCGTGTACTCAGCCTGGATGGTGAGCAGATAGAAGTAGTCGAGAAGTTCGTGTATCTGGGTAGCTGCATAAGTGCTGATGGTGACGTGATTGATGAGATCAATGCAAGTATAGTGAAAGCCAGAGCGGTTTATGCCAATCTTGGCCATCTTTGGCGCCTCCGTGATGTTAGTCTGGCTGTAAAAGGTCGGATCTACAACGCGTCGGTGAGAGCAGTTTTGCTCTATGCTTGTGAAACCTGGCCTCTCCGAGATGAGGATGTTAGACGACTCTCTGTGTTCGATCATCGTTGTCTCCGAAGGATTGCTGACATCCAGTGGCAACATCATGTTAGTAATGCAGAGGTTCGGCATCGTGTGTTCTGGAGCAGAGATGATAATGCAATTGGTGTCACCATCTTGAAAGGCCGACTTCGGTGGCTTAGACATGTTCTCCGAATGTCGTCCCAGAGAATTCCACGTCGTGCATTATTTGCTGACTCTGGGACTGGTTGAAAAAAGCGGAGAGGTATTCAATGTATGACGTGGTGTCGTGGTATGAAAGTAAGTTGCAGAGGGCTGGATTGTGTTCGTCCTTCATGACTCCCTGGCTAGGGTCCTAGAAACGGTGAGATACAGTGGCTAGAGACGTTATCAGATATGGCTCAGAATCTAACAGCACATAACCAGCCGATTGTCAATGGGGATCCATTCGATTAGTGCTGTCTCAGCTCTAGCGCTTAGTGCGACACCAACGTCAGCAAGACCAGACGAAGATGCCACAGGATCCTCGGATAATCGCACGTAAAACAAGCTTTTCGAAGCGACAGATCGAGAGCGAATTTGTAGTACTTCACCACAGTCTGGAATACGAGTCTTGGATAGACAAAAACGTCGATATTAAGACTTTTCAAAGACATAACCAGCCCTATCTGTTGTCCAACCTGCATAAGTGTGCGAACGTTGAAGGTAGCTAGTTTGAATGGTGCACGTGGCTTCAGAAAAACTGCTTCAGTACTCATATTCGGTGGTAGCAAACAATTTTCAACCGGACAGTGACTCGAGAACGTTTAGATAGAGTCGAATTTCTACCATAGACGAGCTGCTGTATAAGTCGAGAAAATAAGTATAGACAGAGTAGGAATAAAAGAGGATGAATAATGATGTAGTAAATAATAATAATAATAATAATAATAATAATAATAACAATAATAATAATAGTAATAATTTGAATCATTTGACTGTTAGTTGAAGCAAGAAAAGTAGTTTCCATAATTGTAGACAGTTCATCATTTGTGTGTGGGCTGTGATACTGCCCGGGTGCCCAGACCGAAGCAGGTGGTTTTCGTAGGGGGCCCCGCACGGCGAGCCTTTGACCTAAGGCAGAAGAGCATCGTGAGGAGATGCAGTCTCATGGTATCGGGTAACCGACGATTGATTCACACGCCATTTGTTCCTGCAGCATACTGGAGACCATGTGCACCATTGATTTGGTTTGGGATCCGGTTAAAGCGCTGGACATTCGCTTTTCATCCTCTTCTTTTCGCAGAGGAAACCTCCGCCACGAGAAGGCAGTGAGTAGGAGTTCCCTGGCAGAGGCTGTCTACGCGTGGCCGTGTGATAGGATTTCGAGAGGGAGGGCGAGCCCACCCCACTCTCAGCCATACCAGCTTTTGGGGGGCAATGAATATTTACTGTACAAAGGATGGAATCCAAGAAAATAACTTCGTATGCATAAATTTTATTACTAAGTTCTGGTGCATATTGCGCTTGATATACTTAGTAAGTGGAGATACACAAATTTTGAAAGCTTCATTGATATTCTATCCATAATGTCGAATACCAAGCTTTTATAGATTTTATGTTGTGTCCACTGAGTCAGTGTATTGACATTTTCATGTATTTAATTGTTTCTTTTTCTGGTCACACAATAATATTCTAGATGGTAACGGTGAAGTTACTGAATTTTTTATGTAGCTGTTTCCACAAAAGCAATTAAATTCATAAACACATGTACAGGTCGAAGGATTCAGGTCATCTTTTACTTTTATCGTGAGTGCACTATGAGTGGTAAATTATATACATACTGTTGATGAAAAGAATAGTTTGTTAGTAATATTGATTTTTTTGTTCCTGATAGTTTAGTAGCCGCAACTCTTTAGAAAGTAATTTTCAGCGTTTTTACTTCTTAAGACTAACTCGATCATAAAAAGCCTCATGGATTGCTTTGGATATTATTTGCCATCACGTTAGTTCAAATGATAAAAACAATATTTAAGTACTAAGATATTCAGTTTTAGTGCAACGTAAAAATTGGTGCATTTGGCACATTAAAATTTATTTGAGTTAAATTGGTGCAAGTCTGCATCAGAATTTTATCTTTGATGGAACGTTCTCTAAATTTGGGTCATTATTATTTGAGGTTGCTCCAGTACTCGTAATGTTTTTTTTGTGAGTGAATGTTAGTTATCTACATAAACTGTAAAAACTCCAATATCAAATGATTTTTAAATTGCCTTGATTTTGTAATTATTTTTTCTTCCAATAATTATTTGTTTAACAGCTAAAATTAATCTCTATTCATGATGTTAATGTTATTTGGTTTTCTTAAATATATTTGCACATAACTTTGTCTCCGCATTTTAGCATGGTCCCATCAAAAAATGGCATAAAGTTCACATGGCTTGCAGCTTGTTTTGTCAGTTTATATGGTCTAGGATCATGGATTGTTGTTAATGGATTGTGGGTTGAACTACCGTTATTGATCAATGTTCTACCAGAAGGTTGGAGTTTACCTGCTTACCTGATAATCATTATACAAGTACTTTAGATTATAGATAATGTATATGCGAATACTACCTAGATTTACCGGTGTTAAATGCTAATATCAAATTAAAAATAACGAAATAAGGGCTTTAAATATTACCGAAGTCTTCAACTCATCTTTATGTTTCTTATAGCACTACTCAAAATCATAATCTACATGCATAAACATATTTGTTAATATCCTGCACAGGTTATTTTACGTAATATTTATTGTTTTTTGTTAAGCCCTCATTAACGTCCATGGCTGATAATAAGAAAATAAAATAACGAGAATTTCAGACCAACGTTATAGGTATTTACTTTCGGACGTATGACCCCTAATCGAATAAATTAAAAAAAATTCATTAATATATATAGTAAGAATTTCAATCACAGTGTATTTCACCGGTGTTTTTATCAGCTTTACGCAATCATTACTTTTTACGAATTTGCGGATTGGTGCCTTATCCTAGTAGCGTTTTCTGATGGTTACTTTGGTCTGATTTTCATGTTATGAGATTTTAAGTCTCCCAACACTTCGTGAAGTGCCAGACGGTACCAGCTATTTTTTCTGACGCTATCATTTTCGCGAAATCTCACCTGTCAGGTGATTTGTTTAGAACTCCTATAGCTTAGGCTAATTTACCAAAAGATTTTGTAAATTAGTTACAATAGAGACCCTGGAACTTCATAGATCGTTTGTTATTTTATTACTGTAGATAGCCATTCCGTCAAGGACATAGGTATTTGTCACGTTTCTGATCTCCTGTGATTTGTATTGGAAACTCGGTACTGCCTTTAAATGCACATAAAGCTACATACAAAGTTAAGATAACGTTTGGTTGCCGAAATTAGTCTTTCAGTTACTACTGTATCAGGGATTTTTCTCTCTTTATGAAAATAAACATCTAATAATAGGCTCTCTTCCGTTTATGAGAATCTGTACTTCATACAAACCTTCACAAAGAGTTTACTGTGTCTAATTATCAATTTTAACTTTAGGGTTTACTCTATATGAGAAGACTGAATTTATCCAAATAGTCCAGTTTAGTTGGTTTCATACTATATGAATTTTCTTTTATATTTCTACTGTCTCCATGTTCCATGCCATAATCTTCATTCGAATCCTAATCTCAGCTAGTCGTTTTAGCAATCAAATGGCTTCCCTCGACATAAAAATCTTGTAACCTATGATGAGAATAAAATTCTTTTTTTTCTTTCCCAGAATTTTTATATGATGACTGATACTTCATTATCACAATTGCTTAGTAAAGTAGTTTAATTTTAGGAAATTTTAACGATTGATTTTAAACTCAGTTAATCAGAACCAATGTACAAATTGCGGGACGTCAAAATCCTGAATAATATCCTGGGAAGAACGATAAGTAAACTCTATTGAAAAATCCCAAATAAAATGAAGCAACTGTCCGACACTCTCTGATTTCGGTAGCCTTGTTAACATAGTATCATTCTATGATGCGAACACCACCCATAGTTTCCCTAGAAACAATTTTACTATTAAGAAGAATGTTTGTAGGACACTAATATTATTATTACCAAAGGGAGTATTGCACAGTAGATATAATATTCGTCTGCGTAGTCGACTGTCAGGAAACGTACTTCGTAGCTGTTTAAACCGTATAAAAACGTGCGTGCTACCAGTAATGTGGTTGCCTGAATGACGTATGGAGGAGTAGAATCTAACTGTTTATTTGTCCACATCTTTACATTGTCTGTTTGTCCTTAAGTACAGATATTCCACATTTTCCTTGTTTATACATTACCAGATAGCAAATGTGGGACCAATGATCTATGTTCCGTTGACAAGATTTTTCCAAGCTAAAACAAATGGATTTTGTTCACGTTGTTTACAACCACCTGAAAGGATAGCCAACTATTTAATACTCGCCGTCGGTCTAATATCATGCATATTGATTTCGCAGTTTTGGGACGTAAGTACTGTTATGTTCACTAGATTTAGATATATTTTATCTTTTGATTATCAAGAAAACTGCAGATCTTTATTGAACTATGCGTTAGAAAATGTTGACAAACATGCATGGAGCTGTTATTGTCTTACTGAAGAAACCTTCTTACACACAAATTGATATGTCATAGAGAATCATCTTGACCAAAATAACATGACTTTGACATGTTTAAACTTATTGCGATTTTGATTTTACTACAGATATTCCCCATTTCTCCTTCGTACTATTTAAACTTTCGTTAATTTAATTCGGTTATTTATTTACTCTGAAGAAGTGACTTACATTAAGTCATGAAACGTCAGAAATACAATTTTCTAGTCATTGGGATATATCAAAATATTTATTATTAGCTTTCTACCCAATACTCTATTTAAAACTATCAAGTTCAACCTGGGCATTGATACATAAATTTACATTATCAGTTTCTAAATAATTTGATATGAATTAGTTTGTCGTTTATTCTCTCGAATAGTTTCAACTGCATGATAATTATTCTAACTGAAGATCCGTTAATTTTTCTATGCACATGTATGCCTTTTAGTTGGCGGTGTAAGTTAATAGTTAAGTTAATGTTGCATTCCTTTGATTAGTATTTAATTTTGAATTATTTCTAATGGCTTAAAATTTGGCACAGATATACATCTGTTCATTTCGTCATAATGGTTTGTAATAAATTGAATGAAATAACTTATTGAAACACAGAAAGGCTTTTATAAGTATAAGAACTTAATGAACATGAAGGGGAAGATATCAGTCAATGACTCACCATCCCACAACACAAACCGAAGTTTGCAAATTGAATGACATATTCTGGGATGAGCAAACAGAGTCGCAAAATTGTGATGTCATGCTCATAATGCTATAAAAAAATTACACATATATTTTTTATTCGT